GTCCTGGATCAACTAAAGTTTCTATGATAAATGACCATCCAGCTCTGTCTAAAGATCTCTAATGAATGAAAAGTCATTATTGATTGACAGCTCATTTAGTCAAGAAGTTCCTCCTGATGTCTAAGCTTGAAGTCCATTACTTGCAACTAAATTTAACCAATAAGATACTGCCCTCTGGGATAATAAATCATAAGAATTTTCTTTCTGAGTTGCAATGAGGATACAATATATCTTTTTTTTTTTAATAAAAACAGTCCTCTGGCAAATGCAGAATGCTGGAGAGGCATCCTATTGCTTATTAAACCTTTAGTCTTAATTGGAGCTCGGTCCTAAAATATCTTGTTGTTGCTTTTTGTATCCATCGTCTGAGGAGACCACCTTACAGTATAAAACAAGATGGAGGACATACAGTTTAGAGACTTTAATGCATTGACTTCTTGTTGCAATAGCATTGCTTTTGGCACAAGGAATCATGTAAACTTTAATTCTCCTAACTGGTTAAGCGCACAGAAGGAACTCTGACACAGCGAAGAACAATATTTCCCAAACTCCCTGTAGTCCATCTTACAATAGCTACATTTCTACCAGATGCTTTTGAGGAAAGGAAAGTAGATGAAAGGACAGGATTTTTCACCAGAGACTGGCCATGTGATGATCAACTCAATCATCTAAAAATGAATAAAAATTACTTTAAAAACTGACTGAAAATCCACACGATTAACAAACATTGTAATGTTCTCATATTATACCCCAGATTTCAGGCACGAATTTTGCAATCTTGACAGATTTTGACCCTCATGGGAGATTGCCATATGCTCATAATCTCTGAGATACTTGTTGATCTGAGATTTATGATAAAAAAGCTTTTAATATGTGATCTCAGCCAAATGCACCTAAGGCCTTAGTTTTGCCTTCTATGTCCCACCCTCAGTCCATAAATTTAACATCATTTTAATTTTAAGAATATTTTAACTGCCTGTTTATTTTTACCTGACAAACAGATAGAACTACATAGTAATTGGCTTGTTGTTTGGATCTTCAGCTGCAAATCGGCTTAAATTATCTCACAAGTTTTCAGCCTTTTTATATTTGGGGGCTTCCCCAAATATAAGTTCCCAATGCCTGAAAAGATTGTTGGCCCCAACTTAACAGTTCAAGGAATAAAGAGGCCATGTTTCCCTTCCAAAGATTTTATAAATGCAACATTATATTACATTAATAATAATGATGATGATGGTGATGATAATGATGATGATGATGGAAGGTCATCTAGTTCAACCCCCTGCTCAGGCAGGAAACTAAATCTAAATCTGATTCAGCTCAGGAACGGTTCTTAATTTTACTATTTCAATCCAAAGTTTCAGATTTACAGTCAAAAATTGTAAATAAAGACATGGAAATAAGTCTCCCTTGAGTCAAGTTTTACTCTTGGTGATTACATGGACCCAAGTTAATTTTTGGGAACAACATGGACAGGGTTACAATTATTTTTTGAGGAATGTTTTTTAATCTGCCCCTCTGGCCTACAATCCTGAGAATTCTTCACATTCTTCCAACCGAGCATTAACCAAACCTGACTTCGCCTTTCAAGTTCGGCCAAATTTGCTTAGATGCTGCCACTGATTTCAGTCAGACATAAAACTGTGTTTTTCAACCTTGGAAACCTTAAGATCCCATGCTGGCTGGAGAATTCTGGGAGTCGAAGTCCACAACTCAAAATTGCCAGGGTTGAGAAACACTGACATAGAGCAGCTGATTAAACATAGTACCCCTTAAATATGGTCAGAATCATCCCACCATGATTATGCATTGTACAAAAGTTTCCACATTTTTTTGGATACTTGAAATCACCATCATTCCACCAGTAGCAGCATTAAAAAGTTGGATAATGCTCTGTGGGTTACTATGGGTGGCAAAGTACTGAGCTCCTAAGCTGCATGACATTGCAAACAGCTGCTGTGCTGATCACAGCGCAACTCTGTCAGGTTAATATCTGCAACTAATGGTTCCATCTTTGCAGAACATATTAGCAATAGCTTAATGGTGACTCAGCTGCCTTTTAACTTTATTATCTTGGTCATTTTCATTCAATATCAGGAAAGTCATAGAACAATTTCTTCTTACTAGTGAAAATATATTTTTAACAATCTGAACATTTTTAACATATGATGCTAGAGAAAATGGCACTAGCACATTTACTCTGAAAAAAAACCTGTTAACTCTAAGCTCTACAAAAATCTGTAACACCCCGAGAACTGAAGATTACACTGGATGCCTGGAGATTAAGAAAATTGTTTGTCAAAACTTGACATTTTGAGGCATTTTCTGCATTTTTGGGCAACTTCAACAGCCTCTAGTAATTTAGGATAGTGAATGTAATAAAAGCAATAAAAAAAATTTTTAAAAGCAAAGCTGTCAAATTCATACAATTTTATGGATGCATTTGCATGTTTGCATTTTTTTACATATTTATTATATTTAAGAGTGAGGCTATTGTTTAGTTACAGCAGCTTTGAAATTTGAGTTCTTTATATGTCCAGTTCAAAAGACTGCCTAGGGGTAAGGGATAAAGATGAATGTGATACATACAGGTTGGAAACAGCTTTGATTTTAACAACTGGATTTATTTCCAAAATTAGAACCCAACAAATGTTTATTCTTCTTCCCAGCAAAAGCTAATTTAGTCTAAAGTCTACTTTGCATCTGATAAGATCCAATTTGCACATCTGGAGTCCCTTCTTCATTTAATCTAAGAAAGCAATATATTATAGACATACTGACATACTATAAACATGTCTTAAATGTTAGTCACTTTCCCCCTTCCCATGAAATTCCTGGATTTTAGCTATTTTGTCTGAAGGAGAAACTTCGGAAAGCTGAAAGCCTGAACTAAGCTCTAAACTCTTTCCCAAAGTTGTTGATTTTAATTTCTTAAATAACAAAAAAGATTAAATCCAGAAGGAGTAATAGTAACTATAGAATTTAGTTATATAAGGTGATTCTTGGTGATGACAACATGGAAAACTCTTATTTTAAAACCTCACAAGCCCACCTTGTGGATTCTAAAAGGCTTTCTTTAAAATATGTGCCTATATTCAACAACAGAAGGCAAAGAGAGCAAAATACCGTGCCTTATCTTTACTCTGCAAGATCAGCATGTAAAATGATGTGTCATTAAACCAGTGTTTCTCAACCCTGGCCACTTTCAGAGAGGTGGACTTCAACTCCCAGAATTCCCCAGCCAAAGCTGCAGTCCACCTTTCTTAAAGAAGCAAAGTTTGAGACTACACTATTGGTCTTTCTGTCTGCTAATAATACTTCTGTCTGATTCTAGGCAAGAGTCTTGTAACTAAATTTTATATTTGTATGTTCTTCTCCTGAGCATTCCACATAGCTAAATATTTCATTATAAAATTTATTAAACTCATGAGTGCTGGCAGGAGATTCAGGTTTCTTCTGCATCTACTTTCTATAATAGTAGATCAGGAAGAATTAAAACAACAACATCTGTTTCAGTCAAGATGTCCAAAAGCAGCTTTGTTTTTCTTGCTGATGTGCTCTTGAAAAATCCATTCCCTGTCCCAGTGATGAGTTATTACTATCACAGGGACATCATGGCAGCTTTATAATTGGATCCAACTTTACTCCAGATTTAAAACAGCTGAGATTTTTTATTTTTGAAAACTTGCTAATATATTATTCCATGAGCTATTTCCCAAGCTTATGTTCTCCAGTTTCCTCTATAAAGTACATTAGGTAATCTGCTTTATAGAGGACATTGGCTGGAGTAATCTGTAAAGAGAACAGAAAGCAATTTTAGGATATTATGGCTTATTCTATAGACTGCTTTTAATGATGTCTTCAAATATTTTCATACAAGTATAAGCATTTCATTTATATCAGGGGCATCGTTTTCATATTTTTTGTTCTTTGAGCAATATACTAGATACTTCTCTTCCCAAAACAGTGACTTGATTTAAGATAACATTAATTGAAATGCAATTAAAAGCAATAGATCGCTGCCTACACGTTTGGGATTCAGTAATCCACTGAATATCTGAAATGTCTTGATACAATACCATGAGATATGGAGGGAATAAATTACCCTCTCACTCAAAACCCAGGATGACCAATTCATATACACATTTGATGCTCTAACTTGGTGGTGGTGAACCTATGGCACAGGTGCCAGAGGTGGCACTCAGAGCCCTCTCTGTGGGCACGCACGCCGTCGCCCCAGTCCTAGCTGGGTTTTATAAAACCTTTTCGCTTTATGCCTCCGCCACCTGTGCAAAAAAAGAAGGTTCAATCAATCAGTCAATTTCAACTTCTCGCGGGGGAAAAAAAGATCTTGTAAAGTTGTAATTGATTGATTGAACTTTTTAGTCCCACCCAGTCTACCATTACCACCGCAGCCACGCCCAGCCAATGGGCCACACCCAGCCAATGGGCCACACCCACCCAGCACCCAACGATGCATAAGTGGGTTTTGGGTTGCAGTTTGGGCACTCGGTCTCTAAAAGGTTCTTTTAGAGACCGAGTGCTTTTAGTTTTAGCATAATAGACACCATGCTCCTCAAAGCACTACATTGTGGAGCCTTCTTCTAAACAGCCCTTCTTAAAATTATTTTATGCAGTTTAATTTGCATATGTTAGTATATAATACTAAGTACTGAGTGAGGCTTGCCTTTCAAATATTCTATTTGTTTTTTTATCCTGTTTTCAAGATTACTTATTTCCTTTGTTAGAAAATATTTGATGCATAGACACCACCAATTAAGAATTGTTTTACGATAAGTTTCAGTGCTTTTCCTCCTCCAGTTTTCTTCCCCACCACAGCCATTATTAAGCTTCCAGTGCTGAAAATAAAATAATGCATGTGATAAAACAGGGGTGGCCAAATTAGCAACTCAGCAATAGCGTAGACTTAATGTTGAAATTTCTTATGTTAAGTACCGCAAACATTGTAATATCACTTTTTCAAAAGCATTCAAACTCACGTGTCATTGTAGAAAAAGAACTGTTCGAAGATGCCATAGCCAACGTAAACAGCAACAACCAAAGAGCCATTCCTCTGGATTCTACAATTGCAGAAAAAGATAATAACACCAATCTTATTATATTTACAAGAGAGAAACACCATTTCACTTCTCTGCTGCTTTAGTGGTTAACTGGGTAGAATAAAGCCAAGGATCTATGAAGGGACTAAATTATAACAAATGTTATGGCCTTATAAAGTTTTATTACATACTGAAACTGTGTAAGACACAATAAATCATGAGGCTGTTCAGCTGTCTTGTGAATGGAAGACATTCCAGAGCATGCGTTCATTTCTACCAATACAATTATCATAAACAAAAAAAATCTAGGGGTTCCTAATGTGGGTGTTCAAATGTTTTGCTACCAAGTCCTCTTATCTCTCTCTACAGGAAAAACATTTTACTAAACTAGTGCCATGCAGAAAAAAATGTCCTTTTTTATCAATTCTCATATGCAAGAAAATTTGTGTTACCATTTTTTAAACAGAGAATTTGGACTGTCTTCTTCTGCTGTTATTGTACTTATTGGATGAAAAGACAGTCAATGGATTATTCTGTCTTCCACTGGATAATCATATCTCTGGGGGGAGGGTTCCTATAGTTTCAAGAAATCCCAAGGAAAAACCCTCTGAAGAATTTTATCCCACTGGATTTTTTTTCAAAAGGGGAAGAACAGGAAGCCAGGTATGTTTTAGTGTAATTGAAGGATATGCAGCTTCTCCATGAAGAGAAAGTGTGCGCTATGATTCAATTGCTGGAAGTAACGTCACAAGCAGAGTGTTTTGACCTTGTATTGGGGAAAGAGATGTATGCCCCAAATCAAAGCTTTCATACCTTTTGGTAGGTTTAAAAAGGGATGAACAGATAGCTTAGCTATGGAGCTTTAAATTCAATAGGAAGGACAAAAAAAATTAAGAAGAAAAGAAGCAGAAACAGTAAAGCACTATTATCTTTTATCATGCATAGACTAGCCTGAATTAGGAGAACTCTGAGCTGCAGATCATCCTACTTAGCAAGCATAGCCCTACCTATGTAGTGTAGGGACCCCCCTTTGGACAACAGCTCAAACTTCTCCTATGCAACCACCAAACAGCTGGAAATCTAGAATAAGTTGTCTCAACAAATCTGGAGGATTCCAGGTTCTGGAAACTTGAATTGATCTTTTCCAAATATAAATATAACAATTATGATCTAGAAAAGCTGCCTGATTTCTGCAAAATAGGGGCTTAAATCTCTCCTTCTGAATTCAATATTGCTTGGGTATGTCAACTTCACTGTAAGCAGGGGATTCCCCTGGCGCAAGGCTTTAAAAGCAAAAAGGCAAGCAATTACTGTACTAGACTGGCCAAGAAAGTCAGGGCTCAAGATATTATAAATTATGGAGAATTTTTGTGGTTTCCATGTTTAGCATTATCAGATTGTCAAGAGAAGCTTGATAATTATTCCATTTTAATGGTTTCCTAAGAAAGTCTATTGTTCTGTCCTGTATTTATGCATTCTTTTCAAACTACCTCATGTTAAGCCAGACAATACCGAGAAGATAAAAAACAAAGTGTGATGTTTCTTTCTATGCAAAAGGGATCACAGAGAGATTTCCACACCATAGGGCTGGCTTTGAAGGACTCCTCCCAAAACTATGTGCCACTTGGAAAGGATTAAAACTCTCCACAAATCTCTGCTGTTACAAATGGACTCACGGGTTTCCCCTCCAAGTTGGGATACAAACCAACTGGCTGAACTGATGGCAAGTGCCAGCAATAAAAGAGTTATTTTGTATTTAGGAACCTGATACACGTAGATAACTCTTGGCTTTCCTTTAAATATTGTTAGAATTCCATTTTGCACAATTTTAAAGTAAGTATCAGAGCTTGAAAATTTAATAATGTAAGAGCCAAACCATGCTTTCTTTGTCTCTCCTTCCTAACCATGTCCCAGATTGCCACCTTGTCTTTCTTTGAAAGCAAGCATTCCAGAAAATGGACAAAAAAAAAAAAGAATCCTGTGGAATAACTTCAATGATTTAAGGATAGAAGCAGCCGAAAGTCACATCGTCATCTAAGCATTAAAGACCCACCATGGATGATCCGGGTGAGACCCCTTTTGTTCCTCTCCACACCCCTGCTGTTTTTGCCTGTAGAAGCTGTTTGTGCTATTATTTCCCCGTCTGGAGAAAGTGGCTTTAGTAATTGTGGGAACAAATGCGTTTTACAAAAAGGACAGAAAAAATAAATAAATATTTATTTAAAGACTATATTCTACTCCTACTTACACTGTGCTCTAGAAAAAACTGTTTTTTGTGTTTTTTGGAGCGGTATTATATCGGCAGGGTATTTCTTTTTCTATTCTCCCTTTAAAAGATAGAAAAAAGGAAAAAATGGCGTTTGAAGAAGTCCTTTTAGCTCACTGAGGACACCTACTGGTCAAAAGTTAATATTGAATTGTTGTTTTTTGGAGATGAGAGAGCTTTGGCCTTCAAACTGTTTTTCAAGAAAAAAGATAATTTGAGCTAGCTATGTGATCTGTGCGGGTGGACAATGTTCAACTGTAACCTTCACTAAAAAGGAAAAGGATTTTTCTTCAACTATTGCTAAAATGGAGAAGCCTCAATCACATTTAAACTGTAAACTTATACTGGAAAAGATCTATGAGGCTAAATAAATATGTACTACAATAAAAGAGGCTACTACAGAACTAAGAGCCAGAATCTCTACTTTAAACTTTAAAACTGACTCCCAGATTACACTTGACTACTCTACAAAACAGATTATACAAGAAGAGGTTTTAACTGAGGATAAGGAGAATTTTATTTTGCCTTACAAGCAAGACCAGGAAAAGCAAAGACCGAACTTTGGACTTCTGAAGCAATGAGGCTTTATGGACAAGAGAAACAGAGGATTAAATCAGGGATCAAGATGGTCTGTATTGAATCAAGTGACACTACAAGCAACAAAAAGAGACCTATTATCTGGAAGGGAAGCTCTGTTATGGAAACCTACCTGGCAAAAGAGGAAAGCTAGAATAAGATTGAAAAATGAAATTTAAAATTTCTTAAATTGTATTAAAGGCAACCTAGAACTATGGACTGATGTAAGGACTGAGATTTTGAGTTTGAAGTAAAAAGATGTCTTAGAGTTGGAGTGAATCAATAATTAATTGATTAATTAAATAAGATGACTTGTTTGTCCTATAACATGTGAAATTTAAACTTTACTTAAAGGATTGAAATGATTTAAGGTTTGATATTAATTTGTTAACTCAAAGAGATTGATTAAGTGGAGGATTAGATATCTATAGAATAGTTTGATAAATACATACATTTAGAAGTGTATAGGATAGATTAATATTTTTGTTTAAAAATGAGATATCTTTCTATATAAGGGATTAAAGACAATTTAGAATACTAGAAATGTTTTTTTTTAGAATGTTAAGTTTATTTCTATGAAAATTATATAATGGAATGATGAAAATTGAAGAGATGTTTCAGATTTGAAGTGAACCAATAGTTAATTGAAATTTAATAAGATGATATGATTTTCTGATGATATGGACGTTATTAGTCATGATAATTAACTGGAGACTTGAATTTTGTTTAATGGAATGACATGATTTAAGGTATGATATTATTTTTTTAGCTTGAAGAGATAGATCAATTGATAGATTTGATAGGTACAGGATAGATTAATATTTTACTCTAAATAAGGGAGATTAATGGAAGAAGAAACAAATAAGATTTTGATAAAATTAAGAAAATAGAACATATGTGGAAGGGATATTTGAACTGAAAATGTTTTTATTTAAAGTTAATTTAATTATGGTAGAAATTAATGAAGTTTGAAAACAGGTTCAGGTTGAATAAATTTAAGCTAGAATTGGATATTCTAAATGTACTATGCTATTTGAGGGAAAAAGAGAGGGAATATTTGACGTATTATTATATTATGTATATATGTCTTGTTTTAAGATGTTTGATTACCCCAGCACCACGGTGTGTCCTGAATATGTTGCTTTAAGAATTTAAAAAACCAACAAAATTTGTTTTAAAAAAAAGGTATTTAAAGGGGGATCCATGGTGAAAAAAACCCACAGATTTACAGTATAGTATTTTTCTGTTCGTTCCTTTTCAGAAAGAGTACTTTTGTTCTAGAAAAAATGAATTGACTTTTTTAGCTTAGAAAAAAAAAAAGGAAAAATAGGATCTACAGAGATGAACAGAAAAAACTCCCAAGTGATTTTCCATAGGCCCGCATTCTAGGACAAGAATATTAAATCCAATTTCTTTTGGCTAGAGACTACCATGGAACAAAAGAAAATCCCTCTGGGCCAGTAGAATTCAACAGTGGGGGGAAGAACGTTACGTCCTGCAGGCATCAGTTCTGAACTTGAAAAATGCCATGTATATATGGCCAAAGTTGCTTTCCACCAGTAACAAGCCTTTGTAATGTTGTTCCCATCTCCAGCCTTAGTCTATGAGCTGACTGTGCACTGAAATGTAGGAATAGCCAACACTCCAGAAGATAGGCTTAAGATACAGAAGCACCTTGACAATCTTGAACAGCTCATCTAACAAAATGAAATTCAATGGTGAAAAAAGTAAGGTCCTACATTTAGGCAAGAAAAATCAAATGCACACGTACAGTATAGGTGGTACCTGGCTCAATAGTAGTACCTGTGAGAGGGATCTTGGAGTCCTAGTGGAAAATCACTTAAATATGAGCCAGCAGTGTGATGCAGTTCCCAAAATAGCCAACGCAGTTCTAGGCTGCATTAACAGAGGGATAGAATCAAGATCACATGAAATGTTAATACCACTTTACAATGTCTTGGTAAGGCCACACTTGGAATACTGTATCCAGTTTTGGTCAACATGATGTAAAAAAGATGTTGAGACTCTTTTAGAAAGAGTGCAGAGAAGAGCACCAAAGATGATCGGGGACTGGAGGCTAAAAAGAATGGCTGCTGGAATTGGGGATGTCTAGTTTAATGAAGACAAGGACTAGGGGTGACATGATAGCAATGTTCCAATATCTCAGGAGTTGCCACAA